TTTCTTCATTGACATCTAGGCAACGCCACCATGATTCTGAAGCTTGACTGGCCTTGCGTCTTTTCTTAGGAACTTGATGTTTTTCAAGTTTATCTTCGAGATCAACTGGTTGGGGAGGTTGAGACTCAACCGGAGTTGCATCCTGCTGGCTTGAATTTGGTATTCCCTCTGCCTGCGGGAATTGTAGTAATGCTGGCTCTAGGATCCGACGGTTGTGTACCATAATTATTATAAGCCATTCGTCATCCATATTCGCCATTTCTTTAGCTAGTTTGGCAAGGGAATCAGCTTTGCTATTTTGGCATCGGGGAACTTGAGTTAATTTAACAACTGGAATTTGCTTCATAAGCTCAAGAACTCGCCGATGATAACAAGCCAACTCAAACTTGGTGATTTTGTAAACTCCCAGCACTTGATTTACAACAAGTTGAGAATCACCAAAGATTTGAAGATTTCAGACTCTAATATCGATTGCAATCTCTAATCCAGCTATTAGGGCTTCATATTCAGTCTCATTATTGGTCCGAGGTTCAGGCAGACTGAATGAGAATCTCATTATGCCTCCCTCGGGTGCCATGAAAATGAGTCCGATTCAGGCTTGAGCTTTATCTAAATTAGGAGGTCGAGCATGCTTAATTGATGATGATCCATCAAAGTATATTTCTCATACTCGTAGCATCTCCTTTTCTTCAATATTCATGATCTGCTCATCAGGTAGATCATCGTTGAGTGGTGAATCCGCAGGAATAGGATATGCTGCAAGAAAGTCTGCTAACACCTGCCCTTTCACTGCCTTCTGTGGTACGTATGTGATATCAAATTGTAGTAAAATCACTGCCCACCTTGCCAAACGAACTGTCAACGCCGGTCTTGTCATCAAGAACTTCAGCGGATTGATCTTTGATATCAAGGTGATTTTATGAGATAGAATATAGTGGCAGAGCTTCTGAACTGCGAAAATCAAGGTCAAGCAATGCTTCTTGATTGGAGAGTAGTGGATTTCTGCTCCTATTAACCTCTAGCTGATATAGTAGAGTGCATTCTCCTTACCTTCTTCATTATGTTGGGCCAATAGTGCTCCAAGGGACTCTTCTAGTGCTGCCGTGTACAGTATAAGAGGCTTCCTGGGGATTGGCGCCCCAAGAATGGGCGGATTTAACAGATATCTTTTAATGATGTCAAATGCTTCTTGGCACTCTTCGTCCCATTTGAAACGAACATCTTTCTTCATTAGTTTTGAAAACGGCTAGCACCTACCCGATAGATTTGATATGAATCTCCGAATGAAAGCAAGTTGTCCTTGTAAGGAGCAGAGTTGTCGAAGGTTCTTTAGGGGGGGCATCTCCATCATTGCGTTGATCTTGTTGATGTCGACTTCAATGCCTCAATGATGAACAACGTATCCTAGGAATTTTCCTGAGGATACCCCAAATGCACACTTGAGAGGGTTCATCTTCAGATCATATTTTTTGATTCTTTCGAACACAATTCTCAAATCATCAATATGGTCTTTTCGATCCATACTTTTAATGACCAAGTCATCTACATAGCATTCGACCTTTTAATGGATCAAATCATCAAATATACAAGTCATTGCCCTTTGATATGTGGCACCAGCATTCTTCAAGCCGAATGGCATAATTATGTAGCAGAATATGCCTATAGGCGTTCTGAATGATGTATGTCTTTCATCTTCATGCACCATTTTAATCTGATTGTAGCTCAACGATCCATCCATGATGGAGAACATATCGTAGTTGGATGTATTGTCAACTAGAAGCTCTGATACTAGGAGCGGAAAGTCATCTTTCGGGCATGCCTTGTTGAGGTCTCTAAAGTCAATGGAGATACGAATCTGGCCATTCTTCTTCTTTATAGGGACGATATTGTCAATCCAGTCGGCATATTTTTCTTTTCGAATGAAGCCTGCTTCTATGAGCTTCTTTGTTTATGCGATCACCTGTTCTTCAATCTCCAATCTCATTCTCCTTGGAGCTTGCTTGACATGTACTGCATCAGGCTTGATTGCTAATCTGTGAACTGCCACTTCAGGGGATAAGCCAGGCATCTCAGCATATGTTCAGGCAAAGCAATCACTGAATTCACAGAGAAGTTCTTTTAATTCTTCTATTTGTTCTTCGGGTAGGAGAGAGCTGATGAAGGTTGGGCGAGGATCCTCCTCATTCCCCAAGTTGAGTTCTTTCAGTTCATCCATAGTTGATGCCTGTCCACAATCTTCTAGTTCTTCTGGTGTAGGTTTAGCCTCTATTGGTTGATCGTCATAAGCATTGGCTTCGTATATTTCATCATAATCATCATCGTATTTGATTTCTATGCATGTGATTGCCCGACAAGTCTCTTTCTAGAGAGATTTTCGTTTGACGAATCCGATACCTCTATATGCATATGTATCCTTCCATCGTAGTGGACGTGGATTCCTCCCATACCAGAGGCCCAAGCTTTTACGAAGTTGTCGTTTGGTAGTAGGAATATTGACTTGCTTTCGTAGCATTCACTGAATATTTTTGGTATTGAACCTAGGTAGCCTTATAGGAAATAATTCCTCGAAGTCGAGGAGCATGCAATCCCAGTCATGATTCTCCTCTTCACGAACTCCCGTGAAATATAATACATTTTCAGGTGTGGTCCCCTTCTTCGAAGGAGGCAGATAAAGAGTGGAGAGTTCTTCAATCTTATGCATCTGGCGTGGAATAACTTCCTTGAAGTGTTGTAGGGGGATACGTGTGACTACGAGTACGCTGTCTGAAATTGACAGACTGTCTATTCTTCTAGAAAACACATTCTGCACCGTATTCATGTAGATTGAGTCGTAGTCATAATCATCATTTGAAAAGTCAACCTGCCTACTCCATTCATCCGTGAACTGACATATTTTTTTAGATTTTGTAGGGGCGATATCATCTTCATCCGTATCACTCCCTAGGTGAGGTACATGTTTCCTTTCTTTGGAATAGTTGGTGATTTGGGAATAGCCGGTGTTGCCTTCTTTCTTCCTACACGCTTCTTATCACCTTCCTGTTTGGGTTTCTTTGCAGCCTTAGAATTTGATGCTCTAGCCTCAAGAGAACTTGACGACTTTTGCTTCTTTGGCATGAAGTACTTAGCATCTTCATAAACTATTACTTCATGTACTGCAAAGGGCTAAATATCACAAGAAATTCTGAATTCTTTTCCTTCTCTGAGATACTTCATGCACTGGTGTAATATTGAAGGGAGTAAGCCGTATTCATGCAGCCAGGGGCGACCCAATAACACCTTGAACGAAGTGTCTGCATCAATTACATGGAATTT